TGTTGTCTGCTGTTGTTGGTTCTCCGCACTAAGAATTTCTCTTAGTGTTTCTTGTTTTTACAGATTCTTATAATTTCTGTTAGTCTGAAAATGATGTAATTTTTCCATCATTTTTGATGGACAGTATGGCTAGATCTGTGACTCTTAAGTGCATCGAGTGGGTTTTGACTCATAATGACCCTGTATAGTTTCCGAGGAGCAGATGGTGAGTTCAAACTGCTGACCTTGCTGTTCAAACTGACCTTTTTCAGTCTAGTGCTTCTCCTGCTGCACCACATTCTTAGTTGGAAATGTTTTCTTTCAGAGGTTTATATATGTCATTCCATTGTCTTCTTGCCTACAGGGAACTCAGTCTCATTGGTTCAACTTTGTAGGTAACTTCATTTTTCCCAAGCTGCTCTCAGAATTCTTTCCTTGCCTTTGGTTTTGAAGAGTTTGATTATAATATGTCGTGGTATTTTTCTTTTGTGGTCTGTCTTGTTTTGGGTTAGTGTAACTTCTTAAATGGCTATCTTCTCATCTTCCAAGATGTTTTCTTCCAACAGCCCTTAGATAGTATTTGTGGGGTGTTTTTGTTTTATTTTGTTTCTTATTTGGCTTTTTTATTCTTTATTCTGATTGTTCCTCTAGCAGATGAATGTTGAGAGATTTTTCTTCAAACTCATTAATTCAACCTTCCATTGATTCAATTTGACTTCTTTTCCCTTTCAGTGTATTATCTATTTCTGAAGTCTTCTTGTTAAACTTCTGGCTTTCTAATTACCGTTTTCTTACAGTTCCTATGTTTTCATGTATTTTGTCATTTTGTTTCCTGAATTATACGATAGTTTTGTCCAGTTTTCCTAGATTTCAACTGCAATTTTGTCAATCTGTCTCTCAGTCTGTTGAAGTTGCCTAAATATTCTTTTAAATTCCTAATCAGTTAGTTTCTGGTGTTACATTTTCAGACTTTGTATTTTGGTCACTTGCTTGAAGCATTCTGTCTTGTTTCTTTGTGTCGCTGAAATTTTCTGTTTTCTTCAAGACATTGCGTCGTATTTATATTTAATTGATGATTGTATATTGATGTGTTCTCAGGCACTCACCTCCTGTCTCCCAGTGCATGTGGTTGAGACTGAAGTGTGAACACAGTTCTCTGCTCACTGTTCTTGTTCCTCAGAAACAGGGTGCTATGCCAGGCCCCAGGCAGAGCAGAGGTAGAGGATGGGGTGCCATTGGTCTCTGGGAGGAACAAGAGAGAACTAGATCCCCTTGTTGCCAACCGCTAGCTGTGCCCTGTGCCTGTAGTCACTGTGTCGAGCGCCACTCAATGATGCACTGCTCCGCTCCAGTCCACCCGTTTTTCTTTGCTCACTGCCCCTGTTCAGCTTCCTCCCCAGCCAGCACTCTGTCCACCTCCCTGTCCAGTCCTCTGGTGCCTAGGACCACCTGTGTATCTCTCTCACTTGGTCTCCCATGTCTTTCCTGCAGAGAGTCTCACACAGTCCGGCTGCATCTTACCTGGTATGTCAACAATGCATATTTTGGGAGTCACAATTCAATCCATAGCAGGTTACTACTTCTTCTTTCCTCTCAGATACCTCATGTAAATCCTATTCTGTTTCTCTTTCCCAACCGAACTGAAGACTTTAGTAAAGTTATTCACTAAGTATAAGTTAATGGGAAGAGGGTTATCTTACTCCACCCTCTTGCTCCAGACTTCTCCTCCATTATCTTTTAATTCCATTTTTCCAGGAGGTTTTTAAGACCCTTCATATGTGTCTGTGTGCTTTAAGCTGGCCCTGTTATTCCCTTAAGCATCCCTGTATGTTCCTTACATGTTGGTGCAGTCACTTCAGACACTAGAGCTCTTATTTTGGACCTATATCATGTGTTCTACTTTGTACATACAGCTTATTAATTTGTATGTATCCATCTTGGTGTTGTGGGTTAATGCGCCAGACTGCAAAGCCATTTGAACTGCAAGGTCAGCGGTTCAAGCTCACCAGCTGCTCCTCGGAAACCCTATACAGGGTTGCTATGGGTTGGAACCGACTTGACGGCACTTAACAACACAACAACATCTTGACTATGGAGGTATATTGATTTTTATTGTTGCTGTTAAAATTGCAGTGTTGAACTGAATTGCAAAATGAAATTTGCTATCTACTTACCACCAAAGGCAGAAACTGGAAAATGCCCTACACTGTATTGGCTGTCTGGTAAGTGCTCTGCATGTGAGTTCTTATAAAGGGATTTTCTTTGTCATTTTAATTGGCTGAATTTACTTTATCTTGACTTTTTGTTATGGTTTCCGAGCCATTTATAACAGACTGTAGGAGACTTGGTGGCACTGTGGGTTAGGTATAAATTGGGCTGCTAACCACAGTGTCAGTGGTTCAGACTCACTAGCCAGTCATTGTATGAAAGATGAAGCTGTCAGTTTCTGTAAAGATTTATAGTCTCGGCAGTCCCATAAAACAGTTTTACTCTGTCCTTTAGAGTAGTTAGGGGTTGGAATCAACTCGATGGATTTTATAAGAGACTATAGGAGCCTGACATGGTTTACTCTATGCTTTATTCCTGAGAATAATTTCACATTGAATTACAGGGGAGCATGGTAGCTCCGTAGGACTGGACTGCAAACCACAAGGTCAGTGCTTTGAGCCTACCATCTGCTCCATGGGAGAAGGATGAGGCTTTCTTCTCCCCCAAAGGTGCACAAGCCTTGCAAACCCTATATAGGATCAGTATGAGCCAGAACCTACTTGATGGCACTTAATAGCAATAACAACACCTAAATTCCATGTACCTCACTTCTATTTCGGTTAGACCAAGTAATTTAGAGAAGATGTAAAGTCTGGACTCTGTGGCATGAACCTTGAAAAGTTCACTTATCTGTATCTACTGAAACATTTCTGGAGTTTGTAGAAATGTTAGCAGGCCAGTCGACTACTCGGAGGTGACAACAGAAGCCCATGATGCACACTAACTAGAGAGTGCTGACAAGTGTCCTGGGGTGTTTTCACTGCTCTCCAGGGACCTTCTCCGGCAACGATTCGGAGAGTCATAGAGTACCACGAAGAATCAGCAGTTAATGATGAAAACTGTCTAGGGGACTCTGAGAGGGTAAGGTTTCGCCACCAATAGTTTTAAATCTCCGCTAGTTTTTCTTTCAGAAGATGTGGTACTTCATCTTTTAGAAGCAAACATTATTACAAAGGAAGAATCATAGATACCAAATTGTATCATGGTGTGTTTTCATTTTGGTTCCTTAAAACTGATGCTTGTACCGTTTAGTGAATCCTTTCTTGCATGTGTTTCATCAAGGATATGTCCTAAATGCTGGTCTTTGAACCTGAGAATAGATGTTTCTGTTAAAAGGTAAAAATGAAGTGTCTATCTAGTTTTAACTCAGCAGAGCATTGTGGTGGTAGTGGTTGTGTGCTGTAAAGTCAGTTCCGACTCACAGTGACCTGAGTAAGGCTTCCGAGGCTTAGATCTTTATGGGAGCAAAAGCCTCATCTTTCTCCTGCTGAGCAACTGGTAGATTCAAAGTGCAGACCATGCGGCTAGCATGCTGCTGTTGTTCTTAAGTGCCGTTGAGTTGATTCTGACCCAGAGAGAGTCAGAAGGTTTCCGAGGAGCAGCTGGTGAGCTTGAACCACCAACCTTGTGGTTCAAAGCGACTTTGCAGTCCAGCGTGTTAACCCACAGCGCTACACCTGTGCTCCATACCAGCGCATTATCCATAATACCAGTTCATAATCCCCTACAATACCAAGGCACAGCTGTAATCAAAAGAAGAGTACCAGTTTTGCTAGAAGAGCATTGGGTGTTGATGAAGGCAATAACAGCACAATTAGATGTTTAATAGTTTTAGAAAAAATAGTGCTTTGCTAAAGATGATCTTAGAAATCATGTAATCTGTAGACTAGAAAATGGAGACACACAGAGGTTCATTGTTACCCAAGGTTATGTACCATTAAGGAGTCCTGATGTGGCACTTCAGGCTAATGTACTGGACTGCAAAGTCGGTTTGAACGATCACGTGCTTATCCTATAGTGCCACACTAGGACTAGGTATGGTAATAATTGTAGTTGTTGTTAGGTATCATCGAGTTGATTGATTCCAATTCATAGCAACCTTGTATAGGGTTTCTGAGGAGCGGCTGGTGGGTTTGAATTGTCAATTTTGTGGTTAGCTGCTGAATATTTATCTTATAGTGCTACACCAGGACTCCTCTTAACCAAAATAGAAATCAGTCAAAAGAGTCCATCTGAGCTACATGAGTGTGGTGATGATGGTTGGTGGTATGTGCCGTGGAGTCAGTTCCAAATCATAGTGACCCTGCATAGGGTTTCCGAGGCTGCAGATCTTTGTGGGAGCAGGAATTTTCATCTTTCTCCTGCAGAACAGCTGGCAGTTTCGACTGCTGATTTTGTGAGGTTCTCAGCCCGACTCGTAACCACTACGCTACCAGAGCTCTTTTACATGAGCATAAGAAATAGAACTTCTTGTTTGTATACATCCAATGAAAGAACAGTGTGTATCCTTAGTGAGAAGATTGCAGACAGCTAGACCGTGGAATGTAAAGTTTGATTTGGAGGAGAAAAATTGCAAGATGAGTGCACTTGAAAATGATGACACAAGAATTCCAGGGTTACTTCCCAGTGAGCTGAAGGAAAACAGGGATAGAAAGACTGGGAATTGTTACTTTGCTAGAATTGATCAATTAGCTGGAATGAAATTACACCCAAACTGAATGCCTAAAAGATCATTTAAATGTAGTGATTTGTATCTTTCTGAAGTCAAGGTGACCATCACATCAGCCCTATGTTAGAATATACCCAGCACTTTATCCTTTATAATAGGATGTTGTTAAGTACCATTGAATTGTTTCCAACTCATAGTGGCCCTGTATAGCATTTCCGTGGAGCGGCTGGTAAATTTGAACCGCCGACCTTGCAGTTCAAACCAACCTTGCAGTCTGTTCCTTATATAGCATCACAAAGCATAGAGTTAGGGAAAATGACCGGAGCAGTTTCAAAAATGCTTAGGTTTAAAGAAGGCTTAATACTAGGTTTTACTCTCTTAATTCAGTGACAAAGACCAAGACAATTAAGCTGGCTTTTGTTGCTGAAAGCAATGTATTTATAAAAATATAAAGTTCTTTGCATTTGATTGCCATAGTATCTCACATCAATTTTTTTGCTCAATTATATTTTTATGCATATATAATAAAAGTAATAGTTTATTAGCATATTTTATAACACTCCATTGGGATCAAATAACATTTAATTTATATACCGTATTGCCTTTCTATAGTGTGGAAAATTCTGAACTCTCAAACACTCCTGGCCTTAAGGATTTCAGTAATAGAACTTGTAGTTAGTGACTTTCAGAGGACAGCTGCCAACAATATTAGGTTAATACTGTCATAGAATCATATACTGCATGTGAAAGGGAACTTAAATATTTTATTCAGAATCATTTTCCAAACAAAAGTTTTTTAAAAAAGAAATTAAAATACTACCACTTGAGTTGGTTTTCCTGTATTATGCAATTTTTAAAGCCTGTAAACCACTTGCTTTTAGATAACAATGCTTTTGTTCTTCAGGCTTAACTTGCACAGAACAGAACTTCATTTCAAAATCTGGTTATCATCAAGCTGCCTCAGAACATGGCCTTGTCGTCGTTGCCCCAGATACCAGCCCTCGTAAGTTTTCGTGTTCCAGAAATCCTTTATAACACTCTCAATCTGGAAAACTAAGTTTTAACTGGTATAATATGTACACTGTACAGTTCATTTTCTTTTTGCTGTCATCCCCATTAACCTTTTAAGAGACATTATAAACTCCGAAATATAATCCTATGCATTTTCCTCACAGTAAATTTTACTTGCAATGCTGTTCTGTGAGAGGGGACAGTTTTTCTGAAGATACTGAAATACAGAGAAGTTGAGCAACTCAAGCATTATGCTGGCACTAGTGTTGGAATAATAATGTACGAGGGGAAGTCAGAAAATACTGCTGAAAATCATTGAAACTTTTATTAAAACAAAAATATTAAAATGTGAAGCTATTGTTTCTCAACTTATATCCCATCCAGGTCTATACACTTCTGAGGACAGTGTTTCCATCTCTCTAACCCTTCCTGGCGCTGCAGGCTAATGCAAGGTTGGTTTGAACTGCATGGTCAGTGGTTCAAGCTCATGAGCCACTCCTTGGAAACCCCATCTATACAGTGTCACTATGAGTCGGAACCGACTCATTGGCACTTGACAACAACAGAAACCCTTCCCCATAGAATTCTGCACTCTCTGACTTAAATCACTTCCTAACGGCAGTGTAAGCATTTCAAGGGACTCAGGTCTTGTTCCTTGTAAATGTTGTTTGAGTTTAGGGAACAAAAAGAACTCTGAAGGAATAAGGGGTAAGATCAGAGCTGTAGGGTGATTGGGATTAGGTTTCCCAATGAAATTCTCTTAGCATGCAGATGCATTGTTGGGATGAACAAAATTTCTCAGTACAACTTTCCTGGCCTTTTTCTCGCCAATGCAGTGTTCAGGGTTGTTTTAAGACTTCTTCAAAAATGATCATCCTGTGTCTTTTAAGAAGATTTATCAAGATTATTCCCCCTTTTCAATCCAAAAGAAACTCTCACCATTCCCTCCTGAGCTGACCTGTCTGCCTTGAATGTAACTGGCCCACCAGATCCCCTTGGATGCCATGATTGGACTTTGTTTGGGAAAGTACCCTAAGGAAACTAAAACAAGTCTGTTACTGAGTCAGCCTGTCTGCAGTCATCCACTGAGACCTGTTTTGTTGAAATAAATCCATGCGTGTATGAACTGGAACCCTCTATGTATAACACTCTGTGTATAACACTCCTCTATGTATAGGAGATTATTGTCTCTATTTCATAGGCAAACTGTCTTGTCACATGATAATATTGTGCCTTTCCTTATCTCTCTTGGTTATCAGATAATTGTTTTAATATAAGTGATTTAAGTGTTCACATTATGGAATGACAGTATCCAATATTTGGAAACCCAGTCCAATCCACCAAGTAAATCAAACTTGGCATTGTGGCCATAAAAGTCCCTGGAAGTGTCAGGAAATGGAACTGAAAAAGGGTGTAAGTTTTGGTTCAACGTTCCGAACTTTTTGACAGCTAAGAACTCTGTTAAAGTTCATGAATGACCTTGGAAAGTAGCACATTCCCATCCACATATTATCCAAAAACAAGAAAACACAACTGGCTAGATATATAATAAAGGATTTGATTCAAAATGCAACCAAAATTATGAAAAAAACAACTAGGAATTTAAAAATCTTAAAGACCTTTAAAAAGAAACATGTAAATTTTTGCTGAAGATCATAAATGAACATATTAGTAAGTGAGAAAATGCTGTGTTCTTGAGTAGATTGGATGTTACAAAGAAGTTGTTTCCCTCAAATTGTTAACTATTGTTTTTGTTAGGTGCTATCAAGTCAGTTCCCACTCCTAGCAACCCTGTGCACAACAGAACTAAATGCTCCTGTTTTCTGCATCATCCTCACCATTATTGTTACACTTGAACCCATTACTGCTGCCACTGTGCCAATCCATTTTCTGTGGGGTCTAACTGTTTTCACTGACCATCTACTTTACGAAACATGATATCCTTCTCCAGAGACTGATCCCTTCTGGTAGCATGTCCAATGTATGAGAGACGACATCTCTTCATCCTAACTTTTACAGAGTGCTCCAACTGTACTTCTTCCAGACCTGTTTTTTCTTCTGGCAGCCCTTGGTACTTTCGATGTTCTTTACCAACACCACGATTCAAATACATCAGTTCTTCTAAGGTCTTCCTTGTTCACTGCCCATCTTTCACATGCATATGAGACTATGGAAAGAACCTTGGGTCAGACTCAACTTAGTCCTAAGATTCGGTATCTTTGCTCTTGAGCACTTGAAAAAGAGTACTTGTGCAGCCAATTTTGGTTACTGCTTGCATGAGTGTTGATTGTGGATCCAAGCAAAATGAAGTCTTTGACAACTTAAATCTTTCTCTATTTAACATGTGATTTATTGGTCCAGTTGTAAGGATTTTTGTTTTCTTTGCATTGAGATGCAACCCACACTGAAGACTTCAGTCTTTGTTCTTCATCAGTAAGTATTTTGAGTCCTTTTTGTTTTTAGCAAGTAAAATTCTATCATCCCTCAAATTAGTACAAATATTAATATGTTGTTCCACCACTCCTCAGTCAGTTTGTTGTACTATGGTGGCTTGTGTGTTACTGTGGTGCTGGAACCTTTGTCACTGATATTGGAAATACCAGAAGGGTCACCCATGGTGGACAAGTTTCAGTGTAGCTTCCAGGTGAAAACAGGCTAGGAAGAAAGAGATGCGGCCTACTTTGAATGTTTAGCCATTGAAAATCGTATGAGTAGCAATGGAACATTATCAGCTATAGTTACCAGAAGATAAAACTGTACGAATAGCTGCAGAACATTGTCAGATATAGTGTTAGAAGATGAACCACTCGGGTTGGAAGGCACTCAAAATATGAGCAGAAGAGCTACCTCCTCAACGTAGAGGATACTATTGAGAAAAATGGAGTAAAGCTTTCGGGACCTTCATTTGCTCATAGGCCACAACTCAAAATGAGGAGAAGCAGCTACAAACATGCATTAATAATCAGAACAAGGAATGTACAACGTACTAATCTAGAAAAATTGAAAATTGTCAGAAATGAAATGAAAAGCATGAAGATCGATATCCTAGGCATTAATGAGCTAAAATGGACAGCTTGGTCATTTTGAATCAGAAAATCATATACTTTACAATGCTGGAAACAACAAATTAAAGAGGAATGGTGTCACGTTGACCGGCAAAAAGAATGTTTCAAAATCTGTCTTGAAGTTCATTGCTGTCTATGATAGGATAATATCCATGCATCTACAAATAAAGCCAGTTATTGTCACTATTATCAAAATTTACACACCAACCACTAGACCTGTGCTGATGAAATCAAAAAAATTCTACTAACTTCAGTCTGAAATTCATGTAACATGAAATCAAGATGCATTGAAAATTACTGGTGATGGAATGCAAAGATTGGAAACAGGAAGTATCAGGAATTGGGAAGGATGGCCTCCGTGATAGAAATGATGCTGAGATCACATGATGAAATTTTGCAATACTAACAGCATTCATTGTGAATACCCTTCTTAAGCAACATATATGCCGACTGTATACATGACCTCACCAGATGGAATACACAGAAATGAAATTGACTGCATCTGTGGGAAGAGACAGCGGGAAAGCTCCATATTATAACCAAAACAAAGCCAAGTGTAGACTGTGGAACATACCATCAGTTGCTGATAAGCAAGTTCAGAATGAAACTGAAGAAATTAAATAAGTCCTTGAGAGCCAAAATTGTACCTTGAGTATTTTTCATCAGATTTGATGCATTAGACACTAATAACCAAAGACCAGAAGAGTTGTGAGGTGAAATCAGGAACATCAAATAGGAAGAAAGAAAAGATCAAAATGGATGTCAGAAAAGGCTCTGAAACTTACTCTTGAGCATACAGAAGCTAAAAAATGGAAGAAATGAGGAGGTAAAAGAGCTGACCAGAAAATTTCAAAGAGCAGCTCGAAAAAACCGAGCCAGATATTATAATGAAATGTGCAAAGACCTAGAGTTAGAAAAGCAAATGGGAAAACACACTCAGCATCTCTCAAGCTGAAAGAACTGAAGTAAAAACTCAGTCCTTGACTTGAAATATTGAAGGAGTCTATGGGCAGAATTGGTGTCCTGGTGTCGCAGTATAGGATAAGCATTGAATTGCAACATTAGTTTGAACTACAAGGTCAGTGGTTTAAACCCACCAGCTATTCCACAGAAACCCTGTACGGTGTCACTATGAGTTGGAACTGACTCAGTGGAACTAAACAATAACAACAATGGACAAAATACTGGATGATGCAGAAAGCCTCAAAAGAAGATGGAAGTAATACACAAATTCACTATACCAAAAATAAGGTGTTTGATGTTCAGCCATTTCAAGAGGTAGCATGTGATCAAGAACTGATGGTACTGAAGACAGTCTTGAAAAGCAAGGGTCCAAAAATTGACAGATTGCAAATTGAAATCTTTCAGCAAACAGATGCAGCACTGAAGGAGCTCACTCTTTTATGCCAATAACCTTGGAAGACAGACTACCTTGCCAACCAGTTGGCAGAGATCCATATTTATGACCCAACAGGTTGTGGAAATTATCAAACAATGTATTCAATATTGTATTGAAGTAAAATTTTGCTGAAGATAATTAAAAAGTGTTTGCAGCAGTACATCAACAGAAAACTGCCAGAGATTCAAGCCAGATTCAGAAGACTACATGGTACTAAGGATACTCTTGCTTAGACATTAGATGAATCTTGACCAACAGCAGAGACATGTTTACTGTTGGTTGGTTGACTGTGTAAAGACTTTTCACTGTGTAGATTATGACAGACTATGAATAACTTTGTAAAGTATGGATATTCCAGAACGCTTGATTGTGCTCATAAGGAACCTGTACATAGACCAAGAAGCAGTTGTTAGAGCAGAATAAGGGGATACTAATTGGTTTAAAATCAAGAAAGGTTTATACCAGGGTTGTATCCTTTCACCATACTTATTCAATCTGTATACTCAGTAAATATGCTGAGAGTTTGGATTACATGAAGAAAAGCATGGCATCAGGATTGGAGGAAGACTTATTAACAACCTGTTATATGCAGATGATGCAACTTTTCTTGTTGGAAGTGAAGAGGATTTAAAATACTGATGAAGATCAAAGACTTCAGTATGGATTTGCACCCCTATGTCAACAAAACAAAAATCCTCACAACTGTACAATAAATATAATCATAATAAATGGAGGAAAGATTGGAGTTGTCAAATAATTCATTTTGTTTGGATCTACAATCAACACTTATGGAAGCAGCAGTCAAGAAATCAAAGGACATATTGCATTAGGCAAATATGCTGCACAAGACCTCTCTCAAGCATTAAAGAGTAAAGATATCAATCTGAGGACTAAGTTGCATCTGACCTAAACCATGATATTTACAGTTGCCTCACATGCATGTGAAAGTTGGACAGTGAATAAAGTAGACTGTAGAATTGATGCATTTGAGTTATGGTGTTGGAGAAGAATGTTAAAAGTACCATGGACTCCAGCAGAACACATAAATTTGTTTTGGAAGAAGTACAACCAGAATGCTCCATAGAAAACAAGATGGTGAGACTTCCTCTCTCATACATTGGACATGTTATCAGGAGAGACCAGTCTCTTAGAAGGACATCATGCTTTGTAAAGTGGAGGAGCAACAGAAAAGAGGACGATCCCCTCAAGGAGATGGATTGGCACAGTGACAGCAGCAATGAGTTCAAGCATAAGAACAATTGTGAAGAAGGTGCAAGACCAGCAGTGGTTCATTCTGTTGTGCACAGGGTTGCTGTGAGTCAAAACTGACTCAGCAGCACCTATAACAACATCATGCTGTTTTTAAGTGTTGTCAAGTCGATTCTGACTCATAGTGACCCTGTATACGGTTTTCAAGAAGCAGCCAGTGGGTTTGAACTACTGACATTGTGGTTAGCAGTCCAGTGCTTATTCTACAGCACCACACCAGGATTCAATATCCCAATGGTTGGCTTTTTAATTACATGCAAAAATATAAAATAAAATCTAATGTATTTTTTAAAATAGCAAGAGGAAATATGTTGGAATGATACTACAGTAAGTTTTCAATCAAGATAGTGAATAGAACACCAGTATATGTCTCTATGCCCTTCTAAGGTCACACTGATAAAAGGAATTACAAAAGTGTTGGTAGGCAAGGCTTGGAAGGCTTTTCCTGGAAGAGATGTCAGTATATTTCTGAAAAGGTAAAAAGAGAATGGAAGCCCTTTGACAGGTAAAATAAGGGCAGGCATTGAAGTGAGAAAACTACTAGTGTTTCTTGGCAGTTAAATGACCCAGCCTGGAAGGTTATTCCCTCCCACCTCATTGGCCAGAATCAATCACCTGACCCCATTCAAAGACAAGAGGACCAGGAAGTCTAATGCTACCATGTGCCCAAAAGGCATGTTGTTATTGTTGTTAAGTGCCGTTGAGTCAGTTCCAACTCACAACAACCCTGTATGGGGTTTCCAAGGAGCAGCTAGTAGATTTGGACTACCGACCTTGTGATTCACAATCCAGTCCTGATCCTACAGCATCAGGAGTGCCCCCAGAGGCATAGAGCCCACAATATATGGTGAACAGCTCTGTTGCAAATGGTGGACTTACAGAGTCACTAAGCAGTTCTAATGAAATATGAGCCATTACTCCTGAGTTGATGACCCCACAAGGTTTTCCTTGATAGGTGGCTGCAATATTAAAGGAGAAGATGAGAGCTGGGACTTCGGCACTGGTGCTGGCTTTTATGTGGATGCCACGGAAGATCCTTGGAAAACTAACTACAGGATGTACTCTTACATAACACAAGAGCTTCCCCAACTCATAAAAGCCAATTTTCCAGTGG